GTGTTCATCCAGCTCTGCACCTTGTTGTCTCATTCTCCAGCATCTGCAGTTCCTACTATCTCTGATACATAAAGTGATGATTTTGATTTTACAAAAAAAACTAACAAATCCCTTATACATTGAAATTCCCTAATCAACGTTGCCTCTAAGCTGCATGGCTGTGAATCATTGGCATATAACTCTACGAGACAGCGGATCCACTGACTTCTGGTTCTGGAAGCCGTTGCTATGCCTGGACCTTGGAGGTCTGCACAGCAGCAAGGTTAGATTAGATGGAACGTATCTTTCAATGGAGCATGTTACAAATATCCTGGCAGTAGTTTTAGAACATTGATTAATCATTGACATAATTAGATCAAAGTCAGTTTGTGAACAATTGATGCAATGATCAGATCAATTTCAGTTTGGAGAGGTTTTAACATCTTTCTCTCACAAAAACAATGATGGTAGATTAGAATTTATATCAGTCATTATTAAAACCTAGAGAGAGAGTACAGAGCAAAATTCAGATAGATTGACGTAAAAAAACCACCAAAAGTGGCTTGTGCATAATACGTACTTGAATTGTTTTTTTTTCAAAAAGCAAAATAGTAGCCATGAAATGGGGAGAGTGAATTAAATGAAAGTTAAATAATGTTAAGATACCAACTGATGTTAATACTGGACAAGCAAGATCCCAAAATGAAATCTAGCTTGATGGATCATATTTTGTTTTCTTTCAGTTTGATGCGGCATCTCTCACTGAAACATAAGCACAAAATGCTGCAGATTTGATTTCATCACCAAAACAGAAGTTTACCGTACAAAAGAAATATAAAATAAACCGAATAATCTACATAACAGTTTGAAAGATTTCAAAATACATGGCAAAACAAAACCTATTCATTCATCACTTCGTCAAAAAAATTCTCTCCCCATCAAATCAATAGGTTTGCCTTAAACTTGTTTTTTCAGATACTGAGAGTGGAGAAGCTCTATTCTTGAATCCTCAAATAATTGAGATCTTACGGTTTTCTCAGCTTTGAATAATCAATGCACATTTCTAATCAAACACTCCTGGTCTAGAAGTTTTAATAAACTACACTCTTGCACAGAAGTAACTTATTTCCTTAACTATACTGAACAATGTCTTTTCTCCCCCTCCTCTAAGACAGATCATACTGGCTTCTGATTACATTCCTCTCTCTTCCAAACTGCCCAAAAAATTTAAAGTTTGTTTTAGATTTAAAAAAAAAGGATAAAAGCAAAAAAAATCCTTGATTATTTTAAGTATAAAAACAAGCTAATATCTTTAAATGTTTTCACTTTCCAGTCCTAAAACCCCATAATATAAACAAACTTCCATATACACTCCAGAATTCCATTCAGACAGATGCTCTGACACATTCTGGTTTAAAATCCTGGTTCCTCAAAGACTGATCTAGTTTATTGCTAAACCCCTTCACACAGTACAACAGATCAACACCCATATACCTCTAGTTTGAAACTCAAATATATATATAAACACAAACCTTTCAACAGAAAAGGAAATTGTTCTATTCAAGGGGAACTAGCAAATCAAATCTAAGTTCATAAACCTCTCAGCTCATTCAATTATGAAATATAAGAATGAACAAAGACAAACAAACCAGAAACAAAACTGATCTATTCCTTAAATTTAGTTTTGGCATTGATGATTTCACATTTCAATTTTGGTGGGCTTATTACTCTCTCTCTCGTTTCTTTAAAGAGTTCCTTTCTAGGCCAAATACATCCTTTGTAGGCAAGCTGATGCAGCCTGTTCTGGACACGACAGTTTTAGTCTTCAGCAGGATTACAGCTTTAATTCATCATTGTGTGAGAATAGAATCATTCAGCCCATCAAGTCTATGCTATGCTTTTAAAAAAACAATTAGTTAGTCCCTGTGCTGCTCTTTGTCCATATCCCTGCAACTTTTACAACAAATACTTATACAACTGCCTTTTGAAGATTGCATTTCAATCTCCATTGACTCACCAATAGGGACTCCAAATCTTAACCACACACCAAAATATTTTTCTTCGCATTGCCTCTAATTTTTTTGCCAAGATCCCAAGCTCTTTTGAACACCCGCCCTTTAAACACTAAGTAGCTCCATCAAGTCTGCTCTTGGCCTTCTCTGAACAGAGAACAATGACAGCTTCTCCAGCGTGATTGACCTAAACATAATCTCTCATCATTGCATCCATTCCATCAAGGCATTCCAAGAAACACATTCAAAAGCATATTCATCAGGAATCACTACGCCCATTTTTCCTTCTCTTTCTCCACCACTGGCTCTTAATCCTATTAAGGATTCCCACAAAAGCTTGTTGGAATTTGTCAGAAGTTGGAATTCAGAGAAGGTTGGTAGCCGTTCTGAATGAACGGCAAAGAAAGAACAAGAAGTCAAAGTCTTCTCAGCACCCTGAAATATCCCACCAAGGCTAGTACACATCAACTCCATCTGTGCATCACAGTGCAAAAATTTATAGAGGCTGCAAACCGATACAAAATGTTCCTGTTCTAATTAGAGAATAGGTTCATTGTTCATACATCACCTGGGAGATGTCGATAAGATATTATTTCCTCTGGGCAAAACACTGCAGCGTTTTAACTTGCTTTCTCCCCTTCCCCAAAGTGTGTAATAAATTTGTAACTGTGTTGTAACTATATTCTGATTAGAATATTTAATATTTAACTACAATAAATATTTTAGTATGCATTACCCGAGACAGAAAACTGATTATAAAATGAGGTACATGAAAACTTAAAATCTGTTTTAGCACCTGTTGTTATAGAACGAACCAGACTACATCAGTATGAATCTCACAGAAAATAGTTAACAATCAACTTGCTCGTACATGCTATGACACACCTTTGGGGCAGGTGGGACTTTAACCAGGACCACTGTGCCACAAGAGCTCTCACAGAAAGTATACCAATAATAATCAGAGATAGTTGGTCTTTTTATGGGTACACAGTCTTACGCAATAAATTAGTTTACTAGCTCAGCGTATATATTTTGTGATTAATGAGCTGCCAGAGGAAGCAGTAGAGGCTTGTACAATCACAACAGTTAAAAGGTACATTAATAGGAAGGGTTTAGAGGGATATGGACCAAACGCTGGCAAATGGGACTAGATTTAGGATATCCAGTCGGCATGGATGATTTAGACCGAAGGGTCAGTTTCTGTGCTGTACATCTCTATGAATCTAATGACACTTCCTCTACCTGTATCTTACCCAAATGGTCATGCTTCATTTTTAACTCCATAAACTGGATATGATTTGGCTGTTTCATCATGGAGAGCATAAGCACACAAGGGCACTTTCCAGGAGTCAATGCATACGATTCAGGAGCAGAAACTCCATCAGATTCCTACTCCTGGATGTTGTGGTCAAGTTAGCCCCAAAGTTAGCTAAAACCAAAATCTGTATTATTATTTATTTTATGGTACTTGTTCTAATTCTAAAGTTATGCAGCGTAATAACCTTGGATTAGGTAGATGCTCTCAAATTAGATTATGCCACCATCTCAAGCTTCTGAGCTTTTTGAAACAATTAGATTGTCAAACCAACATGCATAAATTTTCAATCACAGCTTGATTGTAATGTATAAACATAAGTTTTATTTACAAAGCGACAAATTTTAAAGTAGAAGTCAAAGTTTTCTTATGATGTTATTTCACAATGGTATTCATTTGTTGAGTGGTGCAAATTTACACAATAAATCATGTGAGAGCACTCAGCATACTGTAACAAGAAAAACAGATCTCACAGCAATAATTTTAAAAATTCAATTATGCAAGTTGACTGTAGCTAATCTGCAAATTAATTTCTCCCTTTTCACCTTTCCCTCAATAGCACTGCCTACAATTTTTCCTGAAGATATCATGAATACTGTCTATTTTCCTGACAATACCAAGATTCTTGTTGATTGGTCCTCCAGGCTGTGTTTGTGTATAAACACAGTAATATATTCATACAGACAAAAATATGCTGCGTGCCACTAGGGACAGACAGCATTAACATGGGATTTTTTTGCCTCAATCACTGTGCTGATCATTAGTCTCACTTTCTTTTCCACCACACCCTCTAAAAATAAAATCAAACCTTTTTAATTTTAGGAACCTTCAACACAATGTATTGGCAAATACCCTGGTAGTAGGTTTAGGACATCAGACTAATTACGTACAAAATGAATCAAAGTCAGTTGATGTAATAAGGAGGAATAGAGATTTTCACCTTGATGCCAAGGTTGGATGAGGGTCTTGTAATCACACTCTTTCTCTGTGTCACACACACACAGATAGTGACACTTTACATCACAATGGGTATTAAAATTAAAATCAAGAGGTTACACAACAAAACTCATGATAGTCTTTGCATGTCTTTCTGTATAGAGTTAGATGTGCACCAATAACACTTGCACAGAAATATAACACCAGCAATAAGATTCACATTGGAAACAGAAAACCTGGCAATGAAAGTGAACATACATGAACCAACTAATGGCATCTTCTGGAGTCAGAAAGAGGGCTGTCATAATGGGACAGCATTGGAGAGAGCACTGTGCATCCCTACGTTTAAAACAAAAAGTTCTTCAAAAAAAAGGAATAGTACATATATTTTGAATGTTGGCATGCTCACGTACAACAGGCAGACTTCTCTAACCCCTACAGATAGCTGGGCAAAATTCTAGCAAATGATTAGCCATCATTTTGCAAACCAACACTCAAAGAACAAGGTGTACTTTTAAGTTCTAGCCTGTTTTACTTGTTTTAAACTATACAAAATCATGGAAGGAGAAATTGTAGTTTTACTATATGCACCATTCGTATGTATTCACTCCTTATACAACATTAAGCGGGGAGGTGGGGGATGGGGGTGATAGCAAGAGAAGATCAACCCAAAGCAAAACGAAAAGCCCCTCACCACATCAGTGCTGAGCCATTCTTCAACGTCGTCCAAAACAGACTGTGCAACAGGAATCTACACAGCGACAGAAAATTTAAGCCAGACAACCAAAGTAAACATTAACACAAAATTAAAAGAACAACATTTATGATGGGAATGAAAAAAATTAAATATCTATAAAAGGCAATGCACATAAATACAAAAACTGCAATTACAAGATTCATATTAAAACACACCAAGATCCAACTGTGAAAATAGAATATACTCGAACCAACTCATGGTGTCTTCAGGAGACACAAAGATGTTTCTCATAATAGGGAATATGTTAGAGAAAACATTTTGTATGGCTACCTTTGATAAGTTTTCTGCAAAAACAAAAAAGAGAATGGCATAGATAGAGAAGCTGTCCAGTTTTCACAAAGTCACCGTGGTACGAGAAGCACACATAGATTGGAAGTTGGGATAATTTGTCAACAATTCGTCAATTTGTCACAGGATTTAATTGCGTTGGGTATATCAAATCCCCTGCTTTCCTATTGATGAGCTTTGTTCAACTGTATTATTTCCAGTGTTAACTTGTAGCTTTATTACAGGACATGGCCTCGATAACTTTGGCAAATACATTTTGTTGCTTAAATTAACAATCCAATTTTTTTAAAATGGCAAAGCACACAAATGATGCTTTGTATCACTTCACTTATTAAGCAGTTACAGTTACAATTACCAAGGATTATGCATGAATTTCCTCCCCATCATCTCCCTCATCCACTTCTGGCTAGTTTCATACACTGATTGCAGTGAGGAACAAGTTTTGTCCAGATTGCCACGATCCTACAGCCAATGAGGTCATCCTGCTGCACGTTTTCCTTTTTTCTATTTGTGGAGAGATACCTATACAGCATTAATGGAATTGAGAACCCAGCAGAATGGAGGAGATACGACTTACGCCTCAAATTAGCATGCTGGTGCATAATACCACCCATGTAGACACAAATTAAACCTAGCAATAAAGGAAATGCAATAAAAACAGAGCAGGGGAAATGCTCAGCAGTTCAGACAGCATTTGGGAAAAATAGAGTGAATGGCTCAAGTCCAGTAGACTCTTCTTCAGAACTCGGGGTTCTAAAGAGTCATGACTGGACTCAAAACGTTAACTCTGTTTCTCTGCATCACAGATGGTGCCAGACCTACTGAGCTTCTCCAGAACTTTGTTTTTATTTCAGATTTCCAGCAGTATTTTGCTTTTAAATAAGGAAATGCAAATTCTGAAGTGACTTTTCAGCATAAACGTCAATCAAGTATTGTGCAGTCCATAGTTAAGAAATCAAAATCAAAATACATTCTGTACCCTGATTATATTTGGTCTTCCAGAATTAAATTACATTAATTTAATGTGTGACTTTCTTAAAATAGCCCAGAAGTATTTTGGATAAGAGCAGCAGAGTTTTAGATTGAAATATTTCACAGCATTAGTAGAGGAATTCTCAACTTCATATATTTAGACCCAAGTTTAACCAAGTTAATATTAACATTTAAAATGAAAGGCTTAGACTTATAATTCTAGCACTACAACACACAGTATTTCAGGCATATTAAATATTCCAGCATTGTAAGGATTTGCAGTAGTTACTTATTTATCATCTCCTTTTGCCATCCTTAATATCCACTCTTTTGAAGGCAACAACTTTTTGCAGAACTTCATAAGTCCCCAGTGTCTCAGGTAAGTAGTCCTTCCTTATGGGGGAATCTGGACATAAAATTTGTCATGCAATCCAGCCATGGAATGTAAGGCAAGCAATGGCATTATCAACTATTATTTCAGCTGGTATCAGCTACTGTATTGACCAGAAACCAAACTTGGGATCTCCTGCCCTGTACAGTGTAGTATATTGTTTGTACCAACAAGACTAGTGCATGCTACCACCTCAGGAGACTTAAAGGAGGCTGATTGATTCAATCCATAATGGTGTGCAGGAGACAAGGAGAGCGCGAGCGAGCGAGAGAGATGGCTCAGATTTCATTTCCATAGATGATTATTAGGATTTATGTTTTAGAAAGGAAACAAAAAAAAAGGTTCAGCTTAAATCTTCCAGTTGAATTGTGAAGAACAAGGTAGTTTTAGATAGAACTCAGACCTGGAGAGGTTGAAAGCTATTTAACAATGGGTGTATTGAGGGTTAAAAGTATCTGGGACATAACCAAAAGAGTACGTAATTTAATACAGGCAAGTAGAAAATGAAATAGATTGCAATCAAATAGAACAAGAAATAAGGCTTTCCCCTCCAAGTAAGAAATTTATGGTTAAATATTATTGTAACAATGTAAAATAAGTTACTTATTTGCTAAGACCTAGGTCAGTAAGCTTAAAATTCTTGAAAGCTATATTAAAAGGAATCTTGTTAAAATACATTCCAAACTGTATAGTAAAAGACCAATTGATTCGTAGTCTAAATCAGAGTATGATTACTACAATTAGTCTATTAAATTGTATGAAGAGCTAGTTGTCAAACATGAAGGCTGGTTAAAAGTATTTGTTCCTGTCACCACAGGAAAGTGAACTAGTTTCAGATTTTCTGTTGGTTTATTTGCTCCTACTCTTGAAATTTACCCAATTATCTTTGCAGTTGGATAACATCCTCTAATAGTTTTCATGTTCTCCATGGAGAGCTTAGGTCGACCAAACTGGTTCTTAGCACATGGGCAAATATTACAAGGCTTTCTATATTTTAGGCATAACCTTAAGCCAAGAGGTCACAAGGATTGTTGGTGTGGCAGTGTAAAGATTTGAACAGGTGGTGCCAATGTATTGTTTGAGCAAGGTAAAGGCAAAAATGATTAGGAGGTACTATTTTTAACAGTGGAGATTGCTCAAGACTGATCTTTGGTGACAAACCATGCAGATCCTTCCACTCACTCAAAGGTCTTGCAGGTCAAGACCATAAAACTGAATCCCAGGGTTGGGGGGGAAAAAAAAACACAGGAGAAAGAAACTCCCATTTGATGCATTTTATACACCAAATGGTTTGTTGGGTTTGGGGTCATGTACAAAATTAATCAAAGTCAGTTGGTGTAATGAGGGGGAATAGAGATTTTCACCTCGATGCCAAGTTTGGATGAGGATCCATTAATCACTCTTTTTCTCTCTCTCTCACACACAAAATTTCCAACACTAGGAAAAGCATTTTTTCCACTAAGAATCAGTATTCATTGATACAAGTATAGAAGACATTCAATTTATGCAATGTACCTCTCCAGCACTGTGTAATCTTGAATTTAGACAAACTTATTCAATGAATCATAATCTGGCACAGAGCAGGTTTATTAGATTTCTGCATGTTACTCTGAAGGTCTGGTCTTTTACTGTGCAGTGTTGAAATCAACAGGGGTGTGGTTATGGGGGGAGGGGGCAAAAAGGTTATTTAGCAGGGTACAGCAGATCAACGTGGTGAAACCTCACCATTCCTTGAGTCATGAGCCACTTGTCTATAGGCTCGATGTCTGGGTTGTCAGCTCTATGGTTCAACTGCATCAGTTATAGAATATCCCAAAGGCCCAGCAGTCAAAAATAGTCAGGACAAATCCAAGAAAGACAAGTTAAGAGAAATCCACATCAAATCATTGTAGAATATCATAGACACTCCACTAAAAACTTTTTAGGCAAAAAACATAAAGGTTTGCATGAAAGCGATTACTTTCACCAACGTAATAACAGTGCAGGATGGCAATGCATGGATTACAAAATGTAATTTGCTAGTTTAAAATTAATCTAAGATCAAAAATGAAGAACCTCTTGTGTTTCTTTGGTTATATTCCCCAAACACTATACATGTAGCATACCACAGCAAGATGAGTTTAGCAAGAATCAGTCTGAAAACTGATTGGCATAATGAACAAACTCAGACACAGAAGTGCATTTAAGTGTATGTCAATGGGAGTCAGCGTTTAGATTTTGTTCCTTTTCAGGAAAACATTTACAAATTTTCGTACAAACTGCTGTTATGAAGGCTTCCTTTTAAAAATGAAATACTGGTTCTCAATAATGGAGTTTTAAAAAAACCCAAGCAATTCTTGGTGAACAATTGATTAAAACATGCTTTTCTGTGCATTCTTACAGAGCTGTGGCAGGAATAGACCTCAAAGTGTGTCAAATGCCAAAAATGCATGACCAAGTCACATTCGCATAACTCAACAAACGGAACAGAAATGTTTATCTGTGGTCTTTGAATTTGGACATCATACTTGAATATAGTTCAATACTCCTATTAACATGGAGGACTACAGCAGCATTTCTGCACCAAAAACACATGTTCATGTTGCCAGAGATAACACCATGTGGAGCTGGAGGAACACAGCAGGCCAGGCAGCATCAGAGGTGCAGGAGAGTTGACGTTTCGGGATCGAGACCCTTCTTCAGAAGGGTTTTCTCACTAGGATCAGAGGGCAAGAGAACTGTTTCTTGAACAAACTACCAAAGTTGTCACTATCAGAGCACTAACTGAAGAAGTGGGACAATGGGAGAAAGTTGGGGTGGTGTTTAGAAAAATGAATGAGAGATTTTAATGATTCAAGAGTAATGACACAAGAAAGCACACTATGGAGCTCAAGACTGTTCATTCTGATGAAATGGGAAGTGGGGTTGGGAAATACATTCATGGTTCATGTGGTTTATGCAAGAATTCTAACATCAGACTTCATTGTTCTGTCCATGGCATTGCTTCACGGCTGACTCTAAATATAGATAAATTATTCTTAAAAGTTAAACACACGGCGGCACATAAATGTAGCCAGTCTTTCAACAGTTTGATTAAGTGAATCTGAACTTTTCATTTGCTGATACATGCTAAAAATTGATCATTTCCATGTTCTCCAGGATCAATCTTTTCTAAATGCCTGCTAAGCTTACCAGACCAATTTAAAAACAGTCTCGATGTCCAAATGATATCACTAAAACGATATCTGCTGGTCTAAGAGGCCTGTAACAATTTCATCAAATGTGTACATAAACTCAAAAAAAGGTACTTCTTTCACATCTAAATATCCCATTTTATGCATTTAGCAAAAAGCATTTTCCAGCAATTTCTGAATGTAAAGAAAGTTTTAAAAATAAGAAAAATGAAGCCAGGTAGAAAATAAACTCCACAAAAATAAATATCAATATCTAACATGACAACTACCAACACAATTGCAGTTGCTCATGCAACAAATTATTATACTGGACTAAGGTCCAGTGAAACAGCAGCCTTGACAGCAGACCATGAGTTGGGTGTAAATAGACAACCATGAACACAATCATAAGGTCACTTTGTGAACCACAGACAGAAAATTGACAGCAACAATTACTAACATTGAAGTATAAAGGAACACAGAAAAATTTACAAAGCTTGAGCAGTGTACAGCAAATTATGTGGAAACAAAGCTGAAGAAGTTGTAATTTTGTGTTTTGTAATTTCATACAATTACATTTGAGTCCCAATCATATTAAAATGTCGTACACATTTCCAAAATTACGATTTCATAAGATGGGGAGACAATGCCATTTTCTTGTGATATCAGAGTACTGTATATGATTTAACAACACTTCCCTCAAGAACAGATGATCTAAGAAGGTAAAGACTGACAAAAACAAAGTTTAAATTTCCAGGAAGCGCTGTTTTCATATTCCATTCTAAATCTGCCTATTCAGATTAAAGAATATGTGGAAAATTTTGTTAAGTAATTAAGCAGTCATAGAGCCAATTAAGTCACAGCAAATTGCACAAATTACATTTTTGTTATTTTCGTTTTAGCAATAGAAACTTATTACGGCCAACACAACCCATAAAGCTACAGAAAAGGAGATTTGTAGTGAAAGTTTTCTAGAGTATTATATTAGATTGCATTGAAAGTCCAGGTCAAGCCAACAGTAATCCTTTAAGGGGTGATGGGAATAACATTCACTGACAGAACAACTCAGCTAACCTTGTATATATATTACACGCCAAATATGATCATGCCTCCACGGGACTTGGGGATATAGGTGTCAAAATTTTTTAAAAATTGCTTGCTTGATGATCTGTTTTTAGGTTCACTACTTACATCAATAAATACCAAAGGCTTGGGATCAGAATACTGAGGAGGCAAGATGTTTTGCCCCTTCTAACAATCTTCGATTAAGTGTCCTGCATCATCCAACAGTGAAATAATCACAAAACCTTCTTAGACTGTAGCCTTTGCATTCTTCTCGAGCTCAATATTATAGCTCATTCCTCCACTCTACTATGCATCCGCCTCTTCATTTACTCTGGCAACAAAGCTACAATTGCTGCTTAGATTTACAAAACATCTCTTTCATAGGACTTTACAGTGCATAATGAGTAGAAAGCATGTCCCTATAATCTTCTGAAGTCTCAGCTCTCAGATTCCAAAATCATCATAAAACTTAAACCTACAACTGCACTTTCCAACTTCTCTCCTTTCTACTCAGTGCGCACTGTTCACATAAACTGCTATGAAAGATGCTTTGTAAACCTAAGTAGCAATTGCTGTTGTCATTTTTAAACTGAGAAGCAGCGATAAACTGAGGAGGGAACAGATTTTCCTCTCATTGTGGGAAAGCTCCTCTCTGTACTCTTGAGTTAAGATTGTTGAAAACAAGGAATCACCACTCAAACCTGCAACGTAGTATTCCGAAATACTGCTGCTCAACTCAAAAGTACACATTTCTCTAGCTGCATTAGATTTAGCCATGAGATATACCTTAATAGTTTTGGAGGTGTTAACATCACAGAAACCATTTGTGTTTTGGAAATGGCAAACCATCTAGATGCTTGAGATTTGAGATTCACATGCTGTAGCAGCGAATGGTAAACTTGTACATAATTTTTCAAACCTTGCATCAATCCTAAACATAATACAGTGTAGGCATTAACCAAAGGCCTCAGTGGCTCCCTACACAGCCCAAAAGTACACAAGTGACATGTACCCTTCACCAATTTATTCTTGCTATGGGTAACCAAGTTGAGAAGATAGTAGTCTTAAAAGTGACTATTTGTCCCATGATATTTGGCCAAGAGCAGAAAAGGGGAAAGTATTTTGTTAAATTTCCATAGTTAGATACTTTAGTGCTCAGAAAGGATTAAACGCAAGTTTTATGCTCGAGTATTTGAATAATAGTAAAGCAACATCGAGTGGCATCTTTGAGACAGTTTGCTTTCAGTTTAATCAACAATGTAGCCAATTGTGGTAGCACATGACACACAAAGCAGCAAAAAGATACCTAGCGAAAGTATAACCATTCATTCATTCTGAAGCACAAAAGTTGCTTTTAAATTGAACATCTCAGCTATATTTTTCATTTATGTTTGACATATAAAGCAAACCATATGAGAATGGTTTAATCACCCATCTTTTAAATGAAATACTAAAAGTTTACTATTGTGAAAAGCTCGAAATTTCACATTAAAATAATTTCTTTTAATTCAACGTTCACTTGAAAAAAGTTAAAGCTCTTACCACTCCTGCATTTTGTTGATCAATGGCAGCTCCCAATCCTCCAATTGGCTGCAAGTCTTCGTATGTTACACTACAAGCAAGAAATACCATTGCAAACATTCAGAGGAAAGTTACAATTGCATGTGTGCAAATATCTCAAGTTTATGTTCAAACTTAGATACACTTACTTTTTGCACTGATCAGCCTGAGAGCTGCTTCTGATCTGTGCAAACATATCAAAATTAGCTGAATCTTGAGCATCCAGATTGCAGTTGGTCAATGAGCTAAGAGTGCCACTAACACTGTCTGCTCCCAGGTCTGTAAAAAAAAAAATTTTTATTGGCATTATGCTACTATCAATGGGTTGACATATAAAATCAAAAATACTGCCAATGAAGAAAATCTGCAACAATAGAAAATGTTGGAAATTTTAGGACAGGTGCTGACGTAATGGCAATGTCACTGGTTTAGTAATTCAGAATCCTAGGATAACGTTCTGGGACATGGATTATAATTGCATCATAGTAGATGAAGATATTTGAATTCAGTAAAAATCTGGAATAAAATGCTAGCCTAATGGCGACCTTGTAGCCGTAGATGATTGTGGTAAAGACCCATTGCTTCAGAAATGGAGACAGTAAGGACTGCAGATGCTGGAAGCTAGAGTCAATAACTGTAGAGCTGGTACAGCATAGCATCTAAGAAGCAAGGAAGTCAGTTTTGGGCCGAAACTGTTTGTCAGGACTGGGGAGGGGGAGGGAAGCCCAGAAATAAATAGAGGGAGGGGGAGGGGGATGGGGCTGTTGGTGGGGAAAGAGGGTAGGTGGGATATAGATAGGTAGATGCAGGTAAAGGGTTAGTCAGTGGGAAGGATGGAGTGGATAGGCGAGACAGAAGATGCACAGGTTGGGGGTGGAGAGATTTTGAAGCTGGTGAAATCAATATTCAGTCCATTGGGCTGCAAGCTCCCATGGCAAAATATCAGGTTTACATTTGGCCTCACTCTGACAGTGGAGGCAGCTAAGGATGCATCTCACCAGAGTGGGAGGGGGAGTTAAAAAGTGGATGCAACCAGAAGGTCAGATCGATTGGTGCATGCAGAGCGCAGGCACTCTGTGAACCAGTCTGAGTCGGTGTTTGGTCTCCCTGATATACAGGAGACCACATCGGGAGCAACGGATACAGTAGATGAGATTAGATGAAGTGCGGGACAGTCTCTGCTCGATTTGGAAGGATTGTTTGGAGCCTTCGATGGAGGCGAGGGGGAGGTGTAGGGGCTGGTGGGGAGGGTGGAGCTGACGAGGGAGTGGCGGAGTGAACAGTCCCTGCAGAAAGCGGACAGGGGTGGGATCTGATTGTAGGTGGCGGAAATGTTGGAGGATAATGCATTGGATTTGGAGATTGGTGGAGTGGTATGTGGGGACTCTATCCTTATTGTTGTTGACGGAGGAGGGGGGAAAAAGAGGTTTGAGGGCAGAAGCACAGGAAATGGGCGAGATGCGGTTGAGGGCATCCTTAATAACAGAAGAGGGGAAACTACAATCTCTAAGGTAGGAAGCTTCTGGGAAGTCCTACAGTAGAACACCTCATCCTGGGAGCAGATGCAGAGGAACTAAGAGTATGGGACAACATTTCTGCAGGAGGATGGGTGAGAGCAAGTGCAATTGAGGTAACTGTGGGAGTCATTGGGTTTGAAATGGATGTCAGTGGTGAGATGGTTACTGGAGATGGAGATGGAGAGATCCAGGAAGGGGAGGGGGTGTCAGAAATGATCCAGGTGAATTTGAGGGCACGGTGACAGTGTTGTCAGCTCCAAACTCCCCACCAACCCCTCCATCACATCCAGTACCTTTCCCTGCAACCACAGGAAGTGCTACATCTCTCCTCTGACCTCCACCCAAGGTCCCAAACAATTCTTCCAAACCTGGCAGAGATTCACCTGCACTTCATCTAACCTAATCTACTGTATCCGTTGTTCCTAACGTGGTCTCCTCTCTATGGGGAGACCAAACGCAGACTCGGGGACGAGTTTGCAGAGCACCTGCGCTCTGCACGCTCTGACCTGCTGCGCTCTTGCAGCTCTAAGTTTATTGCTTCACTTAAGAGAAGGAAATCAGCTATCCTTACCAGGTTTAGCCTGCATGTGACTCCAGATCCACAGCAATGCAGCTGACCCTTAGCTACCCTCTAGGCAATTAGGGATGAGCAATAAATTCTTGCCTAGCCAGCAACAGCCAGATCTCTCAAAAAGAATAACAAAAAATACTTATAGATCTGACAGCATCTGTGGTGAGAGTAACAGAATTAACATATCAAGTTGAAGAAGTTTCATTACAACCAAGACAACAAGGTGCAGGGCTGGATGAACACAGCAGGCCAAGCAGCATCACAGGAGCAGAGAGGCAACCAGACGGCTTGACAGAGTTGATAGGTTTAAAGCAAATATAACAGCAGGGAAGGTTAGGAAAAAAAAAAGGGATGACAGTCCAGGGCAAAAGAGGGCGATAATGGAACAAGAAGCAAAAGTGGTGGCTAAAAGAAGCTTGAAATGTTCACAGTCCAGAATAGTCTGATGATTCTCTGCATTTTTCTTCAATGGTGGCCCATCCACCAATGCCCTTGACCTGTTCTCACAGTGAGCAACTTCTCCTTCAAAGGCCACTCACTTCCTCCAAATAAAAGCTGCTGCTGTAGAAAGTTGCATATATATCAGCTTTTGTGAAATAAGTTGCAATCCTACTTGCGTCCTCTCACTCACCTCTTTTCCCAGCAAATTAGTTTCTATTTCCACAGCCTAACTCTTCCTTTCCTTGACTTTTCCATCTCCATTTGCTGGCATAGGCTACCGACCAACATCCATTATTGGACTTACTGACTCTCAAAGCTACATTGATGAAACTTTTTCTCATCCTGTTTCCTGTAGGGACTCTAAACCATTCTCTTAAATGCTTTTTCACATTTATTGAGATAACGCAATCTTCCATACCAGCACTTGAAAGAAACATTCATTTTATCTCAAATCAACCTCAAGAAAGTCTCCTACCATTTGGCTGATAAGGCCCCCAACCATGCCATTCTACTTGGAAAATGTTTGCTCTCAGACCTTCACCTCACTCCCTCAGACAACAGGGTCTTCCTTCCCCTCAATCTTATACCGCATTACCCTCCATGTGCAAGGGATCATCCTCTGATTTCCTCCATCTCTGTGGTGACATTAGACAACTTCCCCTCACCACGCAGCACTCTAGGACCAGTTCTTTAGTGATACTTCGGTTCACACTTCTTCTATTACCCTCAACACCATTTCCTCTTCCCACAGCACTTTCCCATGAAATGCAACGCCTGTAGCCATCTTTTGATTAGACACTTTCCAACATTCCGAACTTAAATCAGATTTGAGGTTGTAACCTCTCTCCCATCTTGTGTATTTATGGTTTTGGGCAGCAGAATGTGTAATGATTTTGTTTTTCATTCATTTAATCACATCCTTCACTACTTCTTCTATTACCATAGCCTTTATTCCTACCACATAATCACATCATTGTCCACTCCAACACAGGCCTTCTTATTTTTAAGATCGTTCGCAAATCTACCTCTGCCTCAGTATTTGGCAACCTGCTACTGTATTCTGAAATCTAGAAGTTCATCAGTAAAGAAGGCAAGTGTGAGTTTAGGGTACCAGATGGATAGTGGGTGGCAATCCAAATGGACAGAATGCCAAGTGGGGAGGCAGAGGCTGATCAGGTCCAGAGCAAAGAAAGGGGCGTTGCGGATCTGGAGCAAAGGGTGAGGCAAAGACCTAGTGGGTTCAGATTGGACTAAGCAGCTTAGCTGAGGTGGATTGGCCTTGCTAAATTGCTCCAGTGTCCTGGGATATGCAGACTAGGTGGATTAGCCACGGTTAATGTGGGTTTACGGTGATAGGGTGAGATGCTCTTTGGAGGCTCAGCACAGGCCTGAAGGGCCAAATGGCCTCTATCTGCATTATAGGGATCATATATGATTCTATCTTGACATTATAGGTCGGTGAACAACACGTCACAGTAATGTTTTTTAATAAAGACTGAACATGTTAATGCTGGGATTCCAACATAGGAATCAAGGAATTCTGATTAAATATTGTGTAGGTTAGATGATCCAGACTAAAAGACAATGAAACCACTTCCTTACCCAGCCCAGTGAGCTGTGAGGACAAAGTAGGAGCACTCATATTTCCAACCATTGGGCTCACAACTGCAGGGGACCCTGGGCCCAAATCTATTAGATTATCTGTGTCTGTAACTTCATTCAATACCTATTGAAATGAAAGAGAAATTAACAGAATGTGACTTCTCCAAAAAAAAAACACCCATTCATTGAAAATTTCTGTAGATCTTTATGATTAGAAGTACATGCTTGTTACTTACACCATCTCTTACTTCCTGACTTTTATGTCCTGATCGGCATCGCTCAAATCTGCACAGAAGACATGACAAACCAGGAAAAGCAATTTGGCTGCTGTGATGCAGGGGATGTGATTTATATACATTTTAACATTGTTTATTTTAGAATTTAGATTTTGAACCAGTGGCACAAGAGTTTGGTCTGTGTCTAGCTGAATTTTTAAGTATTTCCATAACTATGGTGATTTCTCTTAAAACACACAGTACAAAAATTAGAATTCCTAGACAGTAATGCTATTTTGTTTTCATTGGGTGAGTTTTACAAGGGGGAAAAAAGAAGAGGAAATAGTTGTTCATTAGATTTCAGATAGAAGGAATTGGAAACAGAGACAACAAGGTGTAGAGCTGGATGAACACAGCAGGCCAGGCAGCATCAGAGGAGCAGGAAAGCCGACGCTTCGGGTCTGGACCCTTCTCCAGAATAAATTCCAACTACAGGTTTCCTCAAAGCCAAAACAAAAAAAAACAAAATACTTTGTTGAGCCCTGAAGGTAAATGGACAGGCTAACAATGTAGTGAAGGTGGGATATGGGATGCTTGCTTTCACCGGTTGTGCATAGATTACAAGAGCAAGAAGGTTATGGTGGAGCCATAGAGAACTCAGGTTAGGCCGCAACTGGAATACTGTGTGTAATTCTGGTCACCACACTGGTGGAAGGATGTGACTGCACTGGAAGGCATTCAAAAGGATATTCACCAGGATGTCAGCTGGGATGGAGCATTTCCGCTGCAAACAGAGGCTGGATTAGCTCGTTGTTTTCTTTGGACCAGGGAAGGCTGGGGTGTGTGGTGTGTGTGTGTGCACCTGATCCAGGTGTACAAGATTGAGGGGCATGGATAGGGTGACTAGAAAACAGCTGCTCCCCTTAGCTGATGGGTCAAGAACAAGGGGGCACACTTCTAAAGTAAAAGGTAAGAGGTTTAGAGAAGATTTAAGGAAAACCTTTTCACCCAGGGGTGGTGGGAGATTGGCATCCAATACCTGGGATGAGAGTCAAGGCAGGCAACTTCACGACCTTTAAAAAATACTTGGATGAACGTGTGAAATGTCATAACATTCAAGACTATGGGCCTAGTGCAGGAAAGTAGGACTAGTGTAGTTTTGGTAGTACAGAGTGGGCCAAAAGGGCTTCTCTGGTGCTGTATGATTCCATGATTGGCTGAAGCTGGATGCATAAGACGGTTACTCCTGAAGAGAGATAGCTTAGAATCGACAAGAAATAAGTTACCTCAATGGAAGGTGTTTATTTAAAGTTTTAGACCAGAAATGGTTGGTTAGAACCCTGAAGCAGTTATCCAAAGCAGACAAAGATTAGGCTCAGTTATACGAAAACTCAAAGAGGCTCTCAGATTTTCAAAGACTAGAAGTCAAAGATATGACAAAGAATAGCATTCTTTTTAGAGCATGTACCATGAAGGAGCATTGTTGAGATTGTATTTTACTGTGTGTTTCAAAATCTTTAACCTTGTGTTGTATGTAACTTTCTTAGTTTATTCTATTGTTCTTCATTTCTTTTGCATGATTGTAACACATTACTAGCTGCGAGCTTTAAAAGACCCTAGCACATTCCCAAGATGCAGCATCTGAAATAAAAAATCCAAAAATTCTTCTATTTGGTTCATTACTGTCTTATAAAACACCAAATAGTAGGCACAGAAACTGAACTACTTGGGCAACAACACTGATACTACTTTTTGCTCCTGGTTTCTCTTCAAATTTTTGGCCCTTAATTTGATTATGCTCCCAAATGCCCAACATTCCCAAAATTTCACAGTTCCACAAATCAGTTAGGGAGAATGTGGCACAGTGATAAATCATGTATCAAATATTACTTATTCAACATTTAGGTTCTAGAAGATGCTTAGTAAACTGTCTTATCAATGAGCAGCAGTATTAGGGAATTATTGTGGTCAAACGTAACACACGTTTCAGCCTGTCAAGATGAGGAAGACCATTTCCACAAAGCAGTAGCAAGTTGATCACTCACCTTTCATATCGAAGAAAAACATTATTGAGTTCATCATTTACATGCAAAAGTTCGTCAGTGATCTCTTCATTAGTTACATTGGAAAGAAGTTCTACAACTCGTTGCTGCATTGCTCGACATGTACGATTTAGTTCCTTGTTTAAAGAATACAGGACATGTTAACCGGTTCTGTGCCACTAAAAGCATTTTGAATTAAATAATTCACTTAACAACAACTTTGGTGAATGAAGATCAACAGAGAAATGAAAATAGGCATTTCTTTCTGGCTTTACTTCTTTTGGTATATCAAGCTGTCCTACATTAGATATTGCATAGGCCAAACACATTAGAAATTACTCCAAATTTCTCATTGCAGACCAACGGTGTGAATTTTGGCATTTGTCACATCAGTCACACTGTGGCTTCTGAACTAGCCTGTCAATTTAGTGATAATCAGTACTGAATTATGGGACATTTCAGCACAATTTGCTCAGAGATCGAGAATAGCTCAAACTCAATTTTTGTAGGAACCGAACACCCCAAAATATAGAACACATTCATTCTATGTAGATAAATATATGAAAAGGACGTCTGTAATTAAATACTGATAAAAGACTAGGCTATGGAGTCAGAACAGCTAGCTCTGGTTTACAAATGTGAAGCAAAAAAATCTAAAAAGGTTTCATTCTGTTTTCCTATGACTTTCAATGCAAGTTAATTTCAGATCTTAGGCAGGCAAGTGTTCCATTGCATTCAAAACAACCTCATGCCTTATTTCACCATTGCTAAATATGATGAACAGATGGCCAAAACTCCCAGTGAGCCACTAGGTTGCTTACAAATTGTAGGACATGATAATACGAAATTGTCCTACTGGAGAACTTATAGGTACTGAAAGCTTTTCACAAATTCAAAGCAATTGAAAGTGAAAACTTTAGCCTGGAGATTTAGCTGGATGCGGGTCCTTGTTTTACTATGGTACCATTCAGTAAAACACTGGTGAAAAACAATTTGCAAGTAACTTCAGCATTCTTACCTGCAGCAACTCGAAGTCCGATTGATTTTCCTCTCCAGGGACTGTTTCTGTCAACATTTCGGACATAACTTTGGTATTTCCACGGACAACGTCCAACTCGCTGCGCAACCTGGCAAGCTTCCATATAACAAACTCAACTTAAAACAGAGGGTAAATCCTAAGATTAACCAACAGAGAATGTCACAAACATAGAAACAGACTCACTCGCATATTGAAAAACCAGAAGGAAGACTGTCTACTCTACTGCACCATCTCAGTCATACATCATTTATCTGATACTGTCTTGAGTCTAACAGAATAGGTCAAGCATTGGATCTTTGCTGTTGTTGGATGCAAGAGTTAGCAGGAAGAAATGACTGGAATGCACAACTGAAACAAATTTCTGTTGTACTTTTAATCCCACTCCTATGTGACAGTAAAAGCCCAGTAATGTCTAAGGGCAGAACATAAAACATATTCATTGCCAGAATACATTGTTTAAACTGAATTTAAAAATAGTCAATTCTCCATCATGTTGCTTTTTAAAATTTCTTCTTGATATGTGGGCATCAGTGGCTATGCCAGAATTTAATGTCCATCCTGAATGCCCTGGACAAGGTGGTTGTGAACTGTCTTCTTAAATTGATGCAGTGTTTAGAACGTAGAAACACCCAGTGAACTATTACGGAGGGAGTTTCAGTGTTTTGACCCAGTGAGTGAAGGAAAGGACATATACTTTCAAGTCAATGTGTGATTCCCAGAAGAATATGCAGGTGGTGTGCTTCCCACATATTTGCTGCCCTAGTCCTTTTAAATAATAGAGCTCATGGGTTTGGAAGGTGCTGTCGGAGGAACCTTAGTGAGTGTAGTACATCTTACACTTGGCACACACAGCTTGTGCGTCAGTGGTGAAGGGACTGAACGTTGAAGGTGGTGCAGATGGGATGCCATTTAAGTAGGTTGCTTGTCAAGAATTAGAGCTGCACACATTCAAGAAAATAAACAGCATTTCATCACACTCCTGATGCCTTATATTTGGTCAACAATGGAAGTGACAGGCATTAACAAGACCAGTGGTGAGTTACTTACCACACAACTCCTAGCCCCTGACCAGCTCTTGTATCTAAAAGTACTTATATGGTTTGGCAAATTCAATTTCTAGTTAAAAGTAACCCCCAAGGATACTGTTGATAGGGGACAATGGCAAGATTCTCTTTCGTCAGCAATGGTCACTGCCTGTCACTTGTTCTTCAGGGTGGTGATCCAAGTCCAACCATCCTCAGCTACTTCAATGGCCTGCCATCCATCATAATGTCACAAGTGGGGATGTTTACTGAAAGTTGTTCGATGGTCAGTACTATTCACACTCCTCAGATACTGACGCAGTTCATTTCCAAATACAAGACCTGGAATGTATCCAGACTTAGGCTAACAAATGACTTGCGCACCACAAGAGCTAGGCAATGACTATATCTTAGATGATAGAATCTAACTGCCAACCTTTGACAATCAATGGCATTTCTATTACAAATACCATTCTATCAACTTTAGGGGATGGGACAGGGCGGGGTGGGGGTTGTAGGGGGGATTCCCAATCAACTGACCAAAAACTGAACCAGACTAGCCCTATACACACTGCAGCAATGAGATCAGATCAGAGACAAGGAATTCAGCAGCAGGTAACTCACATCCCGATTCTCCGAAACTTGAGACAGGGTTAGGGTTAACCCATCTACAAGAGATAGATCAAGAGTTTGATGGAATACTCGGCATTTGCCTGGCTAAGTACAGCTCCAACAACACTCAAAATGCCAGACACCATCCAGGACAAAGCAGCTCGCTTGATTGGCATCCAAAAACATCCACTCCCTCTTAAACCAACACAAAGTGGCAGCACTATGTACCATCCACAAGAGGTGCTGCAGAAGCTCAAAGTTACTGAGACAGCATGCTCCAAATCCATTACCCCTTACTCAAAAGGACAAGGATAGCAGATGCATGAAAGCAGTATCTCCTGCAGGCTCCCCTCCCAGTCAAATTGCTCTGTGGCTTGGAACTATAATGTTTTACTTTTCCTTTCCCTGGGTCAAAATCCTGGAATTCCCCTCCTAACAATATTGCAGGTGCCCTTGTGCCCCAAGAACTGGAGCAGTTCAAGATACCAATTTCTCCAGGGCAATTAGGAATGGTCATTAATTGCTGACATAAACAAGGATATCCATGTCCCATGAAAAAAAAAAGCTCAATACTACATTACAGTCCATCGATTATGCTGACCTTTGAGATGATCAGGAACTTTGGTGTACTGTAGAAATTCACAAGGCTCTTCCGACAGCAGTTCAAAACCCATGACCGCTCCCAATTATAAAGAAAAGAACAACAAATACATGGAAACACCACTGCCTCTAAGTTCCACTCCAAGTCACTTATCATGACTTGGAAATATATTGCTGTTCCTTCACCATCACTGGGTCACAATCCTAGAACTCCCTACCCAACAACATTGTTGGTGTGCCTACACTAAACAGTCTGCAAACGTTCAAGGCAGTAGCTCACCACTGCCTTCTCAAGGGTAATTAGCGACGGGCAACAGATGCTGGCTTAACCAGTAAAGCCCACATCCTTTGAATAAAAAAGACTCGAAACATTCCTAACACAAGTTTCTACAAACTAATTTATGAATAATCAATTCAGAAAATATGGCTGAAGATCGATATATATACTTCAGCATTGTCCTTTGCAATGACGTACTGGGCTCACCCATCAATTAGGATGGGGATAGTCATGCAGCTTCCACCTCCTGCTCATTGTTTAATTGTTCCCCGTCATTCATGACTGCCTAGTGCGGAATTTAGATCTAATCACTGGTTGTGGGATGGCTTACTCCTGTCTTTTGCATGCTGCTTCCACTGTTTGGCACACAAGTAATCCTATTGTAGCTTCACTGGGGTAACCCCTCATTTTTGGGTATGCCTGATGCTAATCCTGGAATGCCCTCTATACTCTTCACTGAACCAGGATTGATCCCTAGCTTGACAGTAGTGGCAAATTGGAGGACACAGGCCACGAGGTTGAAGATTATGTTGGAATACAACGTCTCCTGCCGATGGCCCACAGCATCTTGTGGATACGCAGCTTGGAGTAGCTCAATCTGTTTAAAGTCTATCTCATTTAGCATGGTGGTAATGCCACACTACACATGGAGCGTATTCTTAACCTGAATATGAGGCTTTGTCTTTACGGACATTGTGTAGTGGTCTCTCCTATCGACCTGGTGTCAGGTAATCTGTCAGTTTCATTCCTTTCTTTAGGCTTTGTAGTCATTTTGATACAACCGAGTGGCTTGTTCAGCCAATTGAGAGGGTAGTTAAGAGTCAAAAACAGTGCTGAGAATCTGGAGTCATATGTTGGCCTGACCAGGTAAGGATGGCAGGATTTCCTTCTCTAACAATTGGTTGTGGTTACATGGTCACCATTAGGCAGGCTTTGATTTCCCAAGTGGATTGAATTCAATTTTCATCATATGCCATTATGGCATTCAAACTCAACCATTATTCTGGGTTTCTGGATGAGTATTCCAGTGATATTAACATTACCCCATCTCCTCTCCGTACAGCTGGAGAACTGGGCATCCCACAAACATTTGGCAATGGATCAATTTTAAAATTCTCATCTTTGCTTGCAAACCCCTCCATGACCTCAAAGTTATCGATGTAACCTCCTCCAGCTCAACTTTGCCCAGATACTGCTCTAATTCTAGTGTCTTGAATATCATGGATTTTAATTGTTCCACCACTGCCTGGTATTCCCTCTCCAAATTCATCTGCTTCACCAACCTTCATTTAAGGCATGCTTCAATAACACTCTGACCAAGCTTTCAGTCATTCATCCTAATATCCCCTGTCTTAGGGTCAAATATTGCTTTATAATAGTGTGAAATACCATGGGACAATATTGTGCTAGCTTGAAGGAAGGTTGATTAATGGACAAGAAGCAGAGAGTAGGGATAAAACAGGGCATTTTCAAATAGCAGGCAATGACTAGTGGAGTACCACATGGATTGGCTTTGGGGGTTCAGCTCTTGAAATTGAAGTCATGTCCTTACATGAAGGAACCAAGAACAAGGTATGCATGCTTACTGATGATACAAAGCTAGGTTGGAACATATGCTATGAGGAAGACGTGTTGAGTAAGGTGGTAACAGAGTAGCTTAAGGTGACAACAGGGTAGCTGATGGACTATAATGTGGGGGAGTGCAAGGTTATTCACTTAGTTCACAAGATTAGAAAAGTGGAATTTTTTAAAAAGCATGAAACATGTATAATTCTCTCTAAACATCAATATTTACAAGGATCACAAAGTTAATATGAAGGTACAGCAAGCCCTTATGTAACCTTCATTACAAAAGAGACTAAAGAACATTGTTACAATTATAAAAGGCTTCCACGAATCCACACCTGGAGTAATGTGCACAGTTTTCATCTCATATCTCAGGGAGACTTGGAAGTGGTACACTGGAGACTCATTTAATTGAATAGCTCTCTCATCTCAGATACCAATGGTAGGGAGTTGAGTAAATGGGACTTACACTGCCTGGCATCTAAGAGGATGACAGACAATCTTAGAGAAACATAAAAAGTTTCTGAGGAGGTTCGACAAGGTGACTGAGGAATCCAAAATATGCATGCACAATCTTAGGCGAGGAGTCAGTCATTTAGGAATGCGATGAGAAGAAATTTCTTCACTCAGATTGTGAAACTTTGAAATGCTCAACCTAAGAAGGTTGCAGGCACTCCATTGTATTCAAGGCGGAGATAAATTTTTGACCTTTCAGGGAATGAAGGGATAGGGGTAGCTGTTGAAAAAAAACAGAAGATTAGCCATGATCATGATGAATGACAGAGCAGCCTTGAGAAGCCATGTGTTCCGACTGCATGTTTGCAAAAGGTGTTTTATAAACATAAGTTGCTGAGACACTGTCAATTTTTTTTTCACCTGTTCAACGTTTGCAGTGATTGGTCCAGCTGGAAGGCCTTGAGAGGCTGTATAGGCAGTCAGTGTGGACGGTGCTGATGGTATGCTGGCTGGCAAAGTGTTTTTCTGTCGGGACTGAGGCATTGGTTTGTTCGTTGCAGGATCTACCTCAGGAACGCACTGCATTTCAAAAAAAATTATACACACAGATATTCAGTGTAAAATGGAAACAATGTTTGAAACTCCGATAACTTATTTTCAATGAAAGTCAGAACGATTGTTACTGAGCACTTTCCAACTTCTGACAGAGCAACCCATATTTCCTCACTAATGCAAGTAAGTTAAGATTCACTGGCTCATCTAACTTTATCACCATTAATTCTAAAAGAGCGCTTTTTAAAAAAATTGGTTGAGAGCATCATAAATCTCAAAACACAGCATCAATCTACAAAACATCTGAGCAAACAAGCACAGAATACATCTGTTAGCATGTTGCAGGCAAACATTAAGGAGGAAGGATTCCCTTGGCAAGTGTGGAAGTGCACTCAGAATCTGAGGCACAGATGCTGATAAGGCTCCATAGCTACACCTAGGGTGCACAGAAGCAACATCAGTCACCATATTTAAGAAAAGTTTAATGTTTAAGTAAACAGCTTCCCCTCAGTTGACAATAAGATGAAAAAATGCAATGAAATTGTGCTTATTATTTGGGTTATAGAATAAATCACAATTTGAAATTTAATAATCAAGAGGAAGCAGATACTCCTCACTTCAAAAAGTAAATCATGATTCGAGCCTCTTATAAACTAAAATTATTGATTGTATCCAGTATGAAAAGCAGATTAACTCTATTTAACAAATTCTACACAAAACAGAAAATTATTTTTTGTTATTTTGAAAATGGCAAAGTGAAGATAAATGGGGAATAGTTTTGCCCATAAAACACATTTTGAACTTTCTTCAAATAAATGCAATATGTAACCTACTCCGCAGAAAGCATTCATCATTATTGACAGGCATACAGACCGCAACTGACCTAAATCTCCCTCCTGTGTGCAATTTTGATGTTGATTTTAAGTTGGACCAATGTTCCCATTAAAATAAAAACAAATATTTAAATAATTTGCATTAAGTTTTTCAGTCTCATCTGCAGGCTGTAATGAATCTATAAGTTCACCTAAAAGCTGTATGCTGAACTTTAACAACTGATTTTATTTGCGCTCAACAAAGAACAGCCTATATGCAAGCCAATCCTGCATTAGAAGCATCCAATGCACTGGCATAAGTCAATGCTTACTCTGCCTGGTGTGTGAATTGGAGACAGTGCATCCAGGTCTGCCATTGGAAACTCCATCCCTTTTCTCTTCAACTCTTCATAAATATGAACTACTCCAGTCAGATCAGGACTACTTCTGAAAGCATCAGCCCAAGCCTAGGAGCGAAGACAAACAATCAGAATCTTTACAGGAGGATTAATAATGGTCACACATATTGACCTACCGTGTCAGACTTCTGCTCTTGGGAATTCCAGGTTTCATTTGGGCTCGGTAGATCTACAGCCTTTCAAAGTTTCCTACAACTTCAGAGCACAAAAAGAATAGTTGTCTCAAACGATTGCTGGTGGACCCACTAGGACCAACACTAGGTATGTGCATAGCTTAGATTTGGCAGCTCAGTACATTTTGGGCATATCTTGCATGTTCAGGATATAACAAAGTTGGGGGGGGGGTCTGTAAGTACCAGCAAATCAGCTGCTGGGGCATTCTGGTTATGATATCTGACACTACACATTTGCTTACTAAGCCACTACGGGAACGCAATAGCAAAAGGCTGCAAGTGGCAGATGAAATGCCTCTTTGACCACCAAATTGGCATTTGCTAAATTAAAAGCTTTCATTGAACAATGAACTTTATTTACAATATACCATCTGATAATTCATGGTATTAATTGTGAATAATATGGGATCTGAAATGCAAATATACCTGCTAATTTGGTCTACTGTGTCAAAGCTATTGCTCAGATATTCCCAGGAGAGATGGTGTTAATCCATTCAGAGGCTAACTCTCTGCAATGGTGATCTCTCTGCCACACTCTCAAGTTCAGAAAACAGCGAAAGAACATTTAAACCTTTATTTTTAAATGTTAGTTGTGATTTGCTGATGTTTAAGATCAAACCTAACATCTTCAGCATGAAAGGCACTCAAAACTTCCATAAGTATTTTCACAATGGAGAATGTGTATTCTTAAAAGTTAAAAATACATACTTGTATAAGTCCCAGGACTTTATCCTGCACAATGGCTGGTGGATTATTCTTGGGCAAGACAATTTTTACTAATACACCATCAACAAAGTCACGGTTGGCTATAAGGACATGGAAACGATGACCACAGTTCTTAACACACGTCTCCAAAATCTAATTTTGAAAAAGTGAGATAAAATGAAATTATTTGTCAAATTTAAGCATGGATCACTCACTTAATTCCTTGCAACAGGTTAATCTGAAAGCATGAATTTGACAGGACATTTTTTGTCTTTCCCCTGTAAAGATGAGGTAGAAGTTTAATTCTTTTTCAAGTTCATTTTAAGGATCACTGGTGGTAGAATTAGGCATGTTGAGGTTGGTTGGCTCGCCTGCCGAGCTGGTTTGTCGTTCCGCAGACGTTTCATTACCCTTCTGGGTAACATCATCAGTGCAGCCTCCGATGAAGTGTCGGTGTGTTTTCCCGCCTGATTTTTAAACTCTGGAGTCCATTGAGCTGGATTGCCTCACTTCCGGTTTTCCTTTGTAGTGGAG